ACGAAAAATTAAAATGCTGCGAAGTTTTCCTAGGTACTACCTACAGACTCATATCGAACGGCGTATTACGTTTACCATTTCATGTTTATCATTAAAGCAAATAAGAAAGTTAGAATGTAGAAAATAGTTTAAAAAAATGTTATGTTTTTGGCCTTATAAACATAAAACCTCAAAAAAGTGAAAAAATAAAATTTAATTACTCGTAACTTTGTGTGCCCACGGCCGATTTTTGCCATTTCTGGACCTAAACAGTAGAAAGTTTCGTAAAGTATGTGTGGAAAATGTCAACCTGCGAACTTTTATAATTTCTGAGAAACCAGACAAAAATTCACAAATTTTTGTCAAGAAAAACGGAGTTGATGCCATACTGGCCAATTTGGCCCATTTTCAATACTGCGTGCACAAACTTCCAAAGTTTCTACAAAATTTGAAGTCGATATCTTCATTTGTGCGACCAGGAGTATGCCAAGAACACATACCACACAGACACACAGAACAACAGACGGACAGACATCGTTAAATCAACTCAGAATTTCACGCGTATCAAGAATACATATACTTTATAGGATCTTTGCGTGTTACATACATACATTATGAAAAAAAACAAAATGACTATACCTTACAGTGGTGGGTATAAAAAAGCATGAGTGTCACAGTTTTGAAACCACGTCTAATTTTTACTAAATAAGGAGCAATTAAAGAAGTCGTGAACAGATGAACATGGGGTCATTAAAAATGAATTACGCTTTCTTCTACTAAGGAAATAAAAGCGCGACAAGTTCTTGTAACCAAGGTTTTCGCAACATACAAAAAAAGTCATGGAAAGTATTGGAAAATGTGCCTTTTAAGTCTTTTATACCGTATGTTTCAATGGACTTCATAATATAGGGTGGAGTACTTCAGTACCAAAATCAGGCACAGTTCTCACGCTCAAGTATATAAAACATGTTGATTTAAAAATGTTTTGCCAAAAGCACTATTGAACTCTAAATCGGCTTTATGAAATAAAAGATCGTCCAGTGAGGAAGATTTATGTATATTCAACAAATTTATACATCTTGGTCTTTTGTTTGACTTTATTTTATTGACTTTTTGAATTTTCAGTTCCTGACATTTAACTTCTTCTAGATTTTATTGAACGGTAGTTTACGTTAGCGAAAGTTTTTTCTACATCTGTAATTAGATTATCAGAAAAGAATATGGATGTAAAACGGTGTTTGTGAATATATTTGTCCACATCTAACAGGAAAAACCACTTGAAGCAAAACCGGCATACAGACATTTTGCGTAGTGTGGGCAAAGATATGGCTGCCACTGGACAAGGCATCTGCCATGAAATAAAAAAGTTTAGTTTGAAATGCATCTGTTGTGTGATCTTCTTTCCATAGATTCACAAGCATTCGTTCAAAACCAATTCCTGCTCTTTGCCTTCATGAATTCGGCTTGGGACCCGCTGTTTTCTTTGCATGCTTATGGAAATAAATTGCTTTTACAAGGCTTGACTTCACTTAAAAAACGTACATTTATCCTTGGTGTTTCCTTCTTAATAAATAGTACTATCGGTTCGCCGAGATTACTTGGAGAGGTAAACTTCAATGTCCCGAACCGCTTTTCTGGAAACTTTACCTTCTTCAAACTTGGGCAACGTAGACAAAATTACAAGCTTCTTAATTTTTTAAAACTTCTTTGGAAAAATCTAAATGATGTATGTCGTATTTTTTAAACTCAATACCTTCATGGGAAAATTAAACTACATTTTTTCACTATTATCGGTTGCCAAGCTTTTGCACATTTGCAAAGGTTTGGGGCTTCAACGATAGCAAGTATTTGCGGCGGTGATGGGCGTGCATCTATGTTAGATATATACATGCTTTATTTTCTTTTTTCTGTGTTTATTTATTTATACGTGATTTTGTTCTTTTCATTTTCTAATTTTTTCCTCAATTTTTAATCGTTACTGATAAGACTTAGCACAAGATTGATTTCTAAGAGTCATATAAATTCGGCTGTTAATTTACGCTAGCTGAATTTCATTTGTCTATAAAATAAGTAAATACATATGCTGTGCGACGAACCCAGTGCATCTTATATTATTTTGCGATCCCATGCATTTGTTATACATTATGTGCTTACATTCTAGACCATATAGCATTTATTAAAAAAATTAATATGCTTTTCTCCCAAATTTTATGCTAAAATTTGCTTTTGGACCGCCATATATTAAATTGAATAATAAATGAATATGCAATAAGATTATGACCGATCCACGATTTGTTCGGTCCCTAGTTCTGGAGTTGGGAACGACGAAATCAATATTCTTTGAACAGCTCGTGTAAAGTTGTAACTGATGTGCGCAAATATATAGTTTTTTCATTTTTCTTACATAGCAACATGCGCGGATGATTTAAAAATATTTTCAATACCAACGATGTCTGTTTATGAAGAACTTGTTTTATCGTATTTATGGTATCTAAAATCATGTGGAAAATATGTGGATTGTTGCAAGTTAATTTTCTTCAAAACTTAATTGATTGATGGTTGAACATAAGCGATGGTTTTTTTACATAAATGCTAATGTAATTTTGCTGGCTTTCTTGCTTTTTTCTTTTGTATTTTTCTATAATAGAATCTAATAATTTGCACAATATGGCTTTGAAAGTTTGTGCATTGACCGTTTCTAACCCGCAAAATGGAAGGAAAAATAATTTAATTTTACTTGCCTTCCATTCTAATCTTTTCTCATTAATCTATCTTCGCAAAGCATATCCGGTATAATAAAAATATTGACATTATAATTCTTCTTCCACTTTCTTCAGGTTTTCTCTTCAATTCTTCTTCAGGTTTTCTTTTCAATTTCTTCTATGAAATAGAATGAACGGTTAACAGTCTAATTCAAATGCTACGAAAGTCATTTCAATTCTCAAAGTTAAAAATTCAACGTTCAAAATTCAACGTTTCAAAAATAGACGTTGCTCGTCGTAAAACCAACATTTGCAACCCAATACCAAGTCGGGCGCAAAAAAGGAAATATCTCTTATTGATATGTTTCTGTAGATGTATAATGAAAATAAATTCTTTATATTGTACATAAGCAAATCGGCCAAAGTTAACTCATGTACTCTATAAACGCTTGTAAGAATTGTTCGGTAATAGTAGTAGAATACAATAATGATCCGAAGACCCTTATTATCACAAGCAGTTACAATGAATACAACATTTAAACTCCCTTTTTTCTATACTCAACAAAACGAAAACAGAAAACTTTAAAATATTTGAGTAAATGAAAATGAAAATAACTGACGCTTACTCTCAGATGTTACTGAATTATTTTTGAATTACTCAAAGATGTTACTGAATTTAT